TCCTTGGGTACGAAAGTGACCCCGTTGGCTTCATACCACTCCAGGACAACATTTGAATAGTGGCACGAAGCTAGATCCGACCAGAAGATCGTAGGCCCTTGTGTTGCTTCAACAGAGGAAGCAGACGCTTCTTGAGGTGGATCTCCCCATTTACAGTCCCGGTAGTCACGAACGGCGCACTCCGTTTGCCACATGTTCGCTTGCCAAATCATGTATTTCTTGGCAAGCTTTGAAAGTTTCTGCTTCCTTACTTACTCCGGAACATCAAACTTGTGCAGGGCGGTGAAGAACAGCAGCCCCGGAAGCCATGATGAGACAATGAGGCTTCGTCAGCATATGGGTGTACAGTTTCCGGGCCCGTGCCTTTCCCACCGTATTTTGCCGTTCGACACGATTTGGAGCCTTCTGCACTTTGTACGTATGCAGTCGCTCCCGGTCCTTGGCTATCTGAACGAAAGATTTGGACAGATTCAACTTTTTGGCCACATCCCTGACCGAAGCATTGGGATTCCGCTTTCACGCTTTCACGACACGCTTGTGATCCTGATCACTAATAAAACATCCATTCTGACCGCATTTCTCCTTCCGTTAGATGCTCAGAGTTTCGTAGTAGTGTTTATTCACACGACTCACCGTTGACTGCACGATTCTGAGTTGTTTTCCGATGTCCCGATGAGAGAGTTGAGGATTTTCCAGGTGCTTGTACGAAATCAATTCGCGACGTTGCTTTTCGGGTGACGCCATTTTTTCAACTTTCGGAAAACTGACAGCGATAAAAAATACAGTGTAAACAATACACTCTAAACTACCTCTACCCAATTTTTTAAAAGAAAAGACCCAGCGGTTTCTACAGCGGTTTCTACAGCAGTTTCTACAGCGTTTTTTTTTCGTGATGCAATTTGATGTAGACGGAGAATCGAAACAACTCAATATTGAGATAAAAAGTACTTAAAAATAAGTACTTCTCCAACACTACTGTTTTGGATACATTTCTGTTCTCATTGATGAGTACTTTAAGCTTAATTTTAAAGTACAACAATAACTCTTATTCTTCGTTAATTGTGCTAAAAAAGTAGTCTTGAGAGAGTTCTTACTTTTGCGAACTTTTTATCTCGATTTTGAGTTGTTTCGTTTTCCACGCTATGAAAGTATCCAAAATCAAGTGTTGCGATTGCACTTGGTTTTGGATGAAAAATCGCAGCGTGCCCAGTATGCATTTTGGTTTTTTTTTTGTCGCCTGGTGAAAGCAACAGATCAACAGTTGAAACTACATTTATTTTAGAGAATGTTGTTCGGGAAAAAATATTAACCTGAACGGACTATTCAATTTGGTAAGTTTACTTATCCCACATGAAAAGTTAAAAAAAAATATTGAAATTTGTAATTCCCAGGATCCCAAGAGATAAGGAATGGTGTCCGGATCTGACAATGGAAGTTTCCCGATTTCCGGTGGGCATAGTCCAGTATTCGCGTCACTTGTTTTCGAACAAATTTGCCAGCGTGATCGGCAAAGGAATTCTGAAGATTTGGAGCATCTCATATGCTAAGAGTAGGTGGTTAGCTGATAGAAATTTGCTGTGCAAATAGATATCTAAAGTAAAATTCATTTCTAGATTCTAACACTGGACTGGCCTGGTGGTGCCTCAACTGATGCAAGCCCGATTCCAACGTCCTATTGAATTTATCGGAATACGGAAAGGACAACGAGTTTGCTGTAAAGAATTTTGAAATATACAGCAAAATGGAGTATCATTTCAACCAATGTTTTATTTTGATAATTTTAAGTTGGATGAGTATTTATAAAAAAGAAATAGAACTGCTATAACTGATTTGTAATGGTTAATTTAAACATTGAAGAAAAAATTACAATCAAATTTTCTGGCAATATTTTCTAAATCAGTAGTCGATTTTAAGTTCTTTTTAACGAATATTCGCTTTTCATGAAACAGCTACATTTCACTCAACACGATTGTCTTTGCAAAATACTCAAAATTGGATACTTCGCAAAGAACTCAGTTTTGACTGGTTGCACTTAGCTGTCAAGATGAGTACAAAACACTTCAAGAGCAAATTTTCATTATGTCGTAAGTAACATTCGCACCAATCCGAGAAAAATAAAGTTTTGTTTTGATGACCGAAAAGTTATTCCATTTCCAAGTAAACACATATAATCTCATAGTGATAGCAATGTTTAACATATTTAGCAGGGTTTTAATCATAAAAATGCAAATCTCTAGCTTTCATGCTAAGAAATACTGGTTTTTGAGTCAAAAGTTATTATACGTCGTTTAGTGGCCCCTATTGTTACTTAAGTCAAAGTGTATTTACCAGGATATTCGGGAGAATTATCAATTACGTCTCCTTACGTGCAGCCCATTCATCATTTTAGGACCACCGAAATCATCTTAGCAACAAACAGTTCGATTTATTCACTTTAATAATGAGAAAGCGAAACGACGAACGTACACTTTTTACGGGTTTCTCAGCGCTGTTACTTAAGTCAAACGGCATCTCCATAGAAATTGGGTGACTTAAGTAACATCTAAAACTATTTTGATCGGAAGGTGATTACGTCAAAAAGCAATTTGACTGGTAAATAAATTTAAAAATGGGATTTGATCCTATATTCGGACAGTATATAGTGTAATAGCAGGAGAATCGATTGACACTGATAGCTCGACTTTGTTTACCTTTGTTACATTCGACGTAATGAAAATTTGCTCTTGACTTAATTTTGAGTCGTTTCGTCTTTCCGTGTGCGACACGCTTTATTTACTTTCGACGTGACTGGCAGCATTGCAAAATAGTTGTCGAAAGTTCCAACAATAACAACAACAACAATATTAAAGTCATGATTTCCGTAAAAGTCGAAAGTAAGGTCGGAAGTAGGTTCGGAAGTCGGCAGTTCCGAACTTTAATTTACTGCTGGCAACACACTACGTTCCATAATTTCGAAAACACAAAACAAATAACTACCTTCGCTCTCGAATACACCCCTTTCCGAAAACGTGCTTCCTAACAAAAATTACAAACAAATAGCTCGCATCAGGTGCTCCTTAATCCTTTGTGGAAACTCAAACAAACAGAAATCGGACGATGCTAACAGCATCAAATAATAATTTGCTAAATTGATACTCCATGACTTTGTGTTTGCCTGTTTTTGATTGCATTGCAACTCATCCAACCGTGGAATTATGGACATCTGGCTGCGGGATAAATGCGTGACAGCCGGATGAGTCCTGTCAACAACCGAAGCTGTATCAATCAAAACAACTGTCCCGGTGGAAATTTGCAACAGGTTCACTTGCTAAATTTAGTCCCTCCGATTGCGGCTGTCGGTGAAAACAAATCATTTCACACTGCTGCTGCATGGAAACAGAGTTGTTCCTGTTATTGATATTATGCGCGGCAAACTGCGATTGACACTTTCAATTGATGGGTCTAAAAGAAATTTATGGACCTAAAAAAGAGCGACGCATCGAACGGCGAAGCCGGGTTAACAGGGTTCAATTGATAGGAGTCGTTGTATAATTGTTCCCGTTCACATCCGAATGATCAATAAAGTTGTTCGATCGCAATTTGAAATCGTTAGTGATACCCGAGAATTCGATGTTTGGGATGAAGCAAATGTAAGGGGCAACAGCAGACCGATTCGGATCAACGGATGGGACAGTGTGCATGCTAGATTTTTAAACTCGTGCAAACACTTGAACCCTTTGGTTCGAAAAAAAAAGGCACTTAACCTCAACCGATCTGCTGCATCATTCACTTTCAAGTGGCACGTGTCCCCCCGGTCGGCAATAATTCGATATCGGATTGACGAACGCAAAATCCATCCTTCGAACCCCGCTTCTTATCAGGCACATAATATGTATTATCCATTATGTAAATGACACTTTTTCCCGTCCCGGTGCCTGTTTTCAATGTTGTTTACAAAACAAAAACAGCTAGACCGGGTAACGGGAATTTCGCTAAATAGTTATGTTGGAGTTTTACTACGCAGCAGCGGCTATTTTAAGCACTTATATTGATGTGGGTGGGCGGCAAAGGCATCTTCGAACCTACAGGCAGCTGAGATGGATGATTTTTAATAAGTGTGATGAACTCCCGGTGACGCGGTCAAATTGTGGCGCAAACCTTCGTCAACAGAGCAGTTTGTAGCAATCGCATTTAGTATGAGGTTAGCTTTAACCTTAACCGCAACAACACGGTTCGTCGTTGTGTTTGTTTGTGGAAAACAACAATGAACTTGAAGGACGTGAGTTATTACGAGGATTGCCGAAGCTGGAAGCTGATTTCCGCATCGTCAGAGCTGGTGCAAAGTTCGCAGAATAAGTTTTGCGCACTGTTTAGCCGTTTTTGATGATGATGATAGGTTGTCCAAACATTAATTTGTTATTTTAAAACTAGTCGTTGCTCGGGGAGTGACCAAGCAAATATTGTAGTTCGTAATCAACGAACGAGCCTCCCTTTTGCTAAATTTAAAAATAGTAGCACCAATATTCGATCATCGAGAACGCGGGTCGTATCGGAACTTATTGGATCTATATTTATCTCCCAGAACAGTCAAGTTCTCTTCGGAGTTGGCATGAGTCGTTCTATTTATTTTCATTTGCAAAAGTAAACATAGAAGTTTCGCGCGTGTTGAACCACCTGTGCTGGCCACGATAGACCTTGGCCAGGTGAAGTAGAAACAAGAATACAAACAAATGTGCACATCAGCACTATTTGGTGCCCGTGTCGCTGCTGGGCACGGGTAGAATATGAGCGTTTCGTGATCATTTTAAACGTCATGCACGCTAAACATTTCCCCCACCTAACGCCGAAACGTCATTATCCTTACAAAATCAAGCTTATCGCGTCAAAAGTTTCGTAACCAATTTGTTATTTTGAATCTGTGGCGCCTTACCTTCGTCGTAGCTCTCGAATCAGCATTCGCGGACTGTGTGATGATAATCGCTCGCCGTAATAAATAAGCTCTACATGGGTTTGAAACTTACCTGATTGTGACTGCTACTAAAACTATGATGAGGCCCACGAGGAGCATGGCAATGACAACTCCACAAACCATATACAGGACATCGTTGGGAGCATCTGCAAATGAAAGCAAACAAATCAAAATCAATCAATCAATCAATCAATGGTGCTTTGCGGCGTGTACGATTTAGACACTAAGAAGAAGAAGAATCCAAACAATAACAAACCCGTTGTTTTGGCGGTGGCGGTGGTGGCGGCGGTATTGCTCAATGCTTGCACAAAAAAAAAAAATGCCAAAACGTGAAATGAGGAAAGACAGATTCGCTTAATCTCTATCAGGTGGTTATTTGTATAGTAAGTAAAAGTCACACTGTGGGGGTGAAATGATGAACCGACTGTAGAAGAGAAAGGTTAGTACGACGATTCATTTCGACGATTGCCAAATAATGTCTGTTCGCGTCAGCTGAGCCAAATTGGATTTCTAGCGGATCAGTTCGTTCAAACAGATGTGAACATTTTCTATTCGGAAGAAGCGGCAACAGAGAAGAGGATTTGTATCTTTTACATAAGAAAGGAGGATTACCGTGAACGCGATTCACTGTACTGTAGTTTCTTCTTGGCTCTTGATCCTCAACCACCGCCGCTGAAAGAGAGCATCATACAAGAGAGTCACCTTTCGCAAAGGTGAGGATGATCGCTTGCAAGCGAGGGAAAAGATTTCTGTTTTCTGCTGAGCGGGATGAACTTTGCCCAGCTGCTGCATTGCAGATATGTCGGATCGAAAATGGGGTCACTTCGGTTTCAAAGATGTCCGATTTGAGGGCTGTTACCGCTCATGTACAGGGTGCGTGACGAATTTTTGCAGTAAATGGCATATTTGAGAAAAAAAATACACCAGTTAGTTATTCTAGCAATGAATTTTGTGGGATTTATTTTCTTTCGCAACATATGGAAGTTGTAAGTAAATTTATTCAAAAAAATTGCCTTCCCTTTCGACGACTGTAGTTAGACGCTTCCGGAAACTGCAGTATGCACGTTTTAAAATGTTTCGATCCATAGATGTCATCACTGCCTTGATTTTAGCTTTTAGCGACTTAAGTGTGGTGTGAGGGGTTCTATTGGTATCCCGTTGGACGACGCCCTATACAAAATAATCCAACGGATTGATATCGGGACTGCTTGGGGGCCAAATTTCTTCCTCCCAAATTTACGAAATATTTTCCGTAAGCCATTTCTGTGCTTTATTAGCAGTATGAGCAGGTGCTCCGTCTTATCACTTTCCCAAGCCTTTTTTAATATTATACACTGTTCTTTCAGACACATTTACCGACCGAATTATTTCTTTCATGCATACTCCGGCGCGCAACAAAGCGACAACGGCTGACAGATTGCTCTCTTGTTTCGACATCTTTACGTTTACTCAACATTGTTTGTTTAAATCTTAAACCTAACAGTATAAGCTATCCAGTGCTGCCAAATATATCTAAATCATGATGCACAAGCATGAGAAATTACTATTTGAAATTTACTGCAAAAATTCGTCACGCACCCTGTATGTGTGGCGTGATGGGACGGGTTTCGGATCGTATCGTCGTCAGTGGCTTGAAGAAGGCGGGCACTGCTCTGATTCAAACTTTGGAAAGGTTCAAAGTTCAAGGTGGATCAGAAAGGCTTCCCAAACATTGCTGGTTGGGGCTAGCAAATGTCATTTTCATTCGCGATTTTTACAGAGATTCTTCTGCCACTATCATCGGATGAGAAAACGATGATACCTAGATATTTTCCTATCTTGGACAAAGTTGTTCAGCAGATCATAGCCTTGTCGCTGGCGGACAGTAGTTCAGCTTTTTCTCACTACGTACCGCTAGTATACAAGTGAAATTCTCGCATGTGATACATCTCGAGCTCCTGGCTAGATAGAAAGTTACTGTCTTTCACAAAATTTTTTAGGAGGTCAAATCCTATTGCTAGGTCCTAAATAGTTCGCTTGTATACTCGTGCAATTCTCGCATTAGATATATTTCGAGAACTGCTAAACTGATATTTTAAATGTAAAAATTTCACGTGTATACTAGCGCCGCTTAGGAAATTCTTAACTATTGTACACCAAGCAATAGGCTTTGACCTCCTGAACAACTTTGTCGAAGACAGTAACTTTCTATCTGGTCAGAATCTCGACCTATAGCATACGCGAGAATTGTACACGTTTACTAGCGCTACGTGGTGAGAAAATTCTGGGCTACTGTCCACCAGCCAAAAAGTCTTGACCCCCTGAACAAGTTTGGCGAAAACAGTAACTTTCTATCTGGTCAGAATCTCGAGATATTTTATATGAGAATTTCACGTGTATACTAGCGCCGCGTATTGAGAAAAATTTGAAGTATTGTGCACCAAGAAATAGGCTTTGATCTCATCAACAACTTTGTCGACTACAGTAACATTTCTATCTGGTCATGATCTCGAGATATATCACATACGATAATTTCACATTTATTCTGAACTACGCTCCACCAGCAAAAAGGTTATGATCTCTAGAACAACTTTGCCGAAGACAGTAATTTTTCTATCTGGTCAGGATCTCGAGATTTTCCATGTTGTAACCAATTAAGTCAAATCCCACATAGTACGGACACCGTTTACGCGGTTTCCATTCAAATTTTCTCTATTATCCGCATTTTTGGGGGTTAACTGTGATACAAGTTTGGCTTGTTTAGTTATACACAAGTTTTTTAAGGAATACCCGTTGGTTTCATATCGATTGGTAGCTCGGCTGCAAAATGGCAATTGAAAACTCACACTGTTGTACAAAGTACAATGCGCGAGTACTCGTGTTACAAAAGTTGGCGTGAGTAACGGAGGGTTAATAAAGATTAAAAAAAAAGCTCCTCTTATAAAAGTTGCGCACCAAAATGCATAACGGCATTTTTGGATGCCCATCTGGAGTGTTATATTACATATTTCAGTTTGTGAATGTATCAATCTCGGTTGGTCGAATTTAATACGGTAGATCCATTAACGTAAAAAAAAATTGGAACCTTTAAGTAGTTCTGATTGCTAGAAATTTGAGGAAGTTAAAAGATCTTTAAAAGTAAGTTTCTACAACTTCAGGGGAATCTAACAGATTTCAGGAAAATTGACTTCAGTGAAGAGCAGTGGGCAATTCCATTGAATCCAGGAAAAGTTAAGCTTAAAGACCTATGAGTAAGTTAGGTGAACTTCGGGTAAGTTCTAGAAACATTAGAGATCTTCAGGGAGTCTGAAGAATGAAAATATATGCTGACAATTTCAGGGATGTTTCACAAGCAAACTGCGGGAACAAACGGAAAGTTCCGAAAACTTAGTTTTTTTCTGAGAAATTCAGGGATATCCAGAGAACTTTAGGGAAGTCGAAAGAATGAGGGATGGATATGTGGAGATGTGAAGATAACTTGAGGAAAATTGACATTATAAAGAACTTTCAAGTACCCCAAAGAAGTTAGACTAGAGAGCTTTAGGGAATTTCAGAGATATTAACAGCACTTCCTATAACTTCATAACTTCGAGAAATTCGAGAAAATTCAGACTTCAAGGTAATTTTAAGATTTGTAAGCGTAAGTTCCGATAAATTCAATACAATTCCGTAAACTTAAGAAAAACTTCGAGAAAATGTTTAGGTATTTAGAACAGTTCTATTTAGATCAAGGTAGTACCAAGAATATAATTTAGAGAACTTCAGGAATGCTTCGAGAGCAGAAGGATAGATCAGAGAAACTAAGGGCAGTTCAACTAATTTCAAGGAAATTGAAGCAATATTTAAGAAGTTTCTCAGGGAATTTCCAAAACTTCATCAAAGTACCAAGACGTTTATTTAAATTTCAGAAACATAAGAGATGTTAAATGAGCATCAGGAAAAGGTGAGGTAATTTTATCATTTTCATTTGTTCCATGGTGTTCATTGCAGTTTAAAGAACTGCAAAAAATGCAGAAACTTCTGCGACGATCAGATTATGTTTGAGAAAATGTTCAGAAATCTTCAAGGACGTCTAGAAACATTCAGAAAAGAACAAAGATTTTTTGGAAGTTTCATTATATTTTGAGAAGTTCTTAGAACTTCGCAGATGATTAGAGATCTTCATATCAGTTTCATTAACTTAAGGACAATTGCAGAATATTTCGAAGAATTCAAAGGAATTATGGGATATTCCAAAAATTTCACGAATTTTGCGATACTTCAGAAACAATGCGGGGTCTCCAGGGAATTTTATGACTATGATTAACATTTCACGAACAATAGAAAAAACAGTGAACTTCAGAAAAGATTCAAAACCTCATGGAAGCCCAAAAAAGTTTAGGGAGAATGCGAGATTTTTGACGTGAGCTTCAATGAAGTTTTCAAAACTTTAGAAAAATTGTGCGAACCTCAAGGAAGATCAAGGAAATTCAAGGTAATGCAATTAACTTTAGTAAAACTGCGGGAAGTTTAAAAAAAGATACTTAGAAACTTAAACGAAGTCTACAACTTAAGGGAAACTCAGAGATCTTTCAGGTAGTTCAAAATAAATCAAATAGTAAAAGTATTTAACATCCATGTGTAGTTTAAAGTGAGGGAGAGTGATCTTTGTGAAATGAGAACATAATGATCGAACGTTCCGCGCATAAGAACTGTTCAGTTTATAAAACGGACAACAAAAACTGTTTATAGCTTTTTCATTTTTCATTGTATTCGTATTGTTTCTTCGGGAAATAAATAGATGATGATCCAAACAAAATTATGCAATGCTCAAATTAATGATAATCAAACGCGTAACTTCAGAAATATATAATCAAAGCTAGGTTCTAAAATAATGGGTTCACTAAATACCATAAAAAACAATATTTTGTTCTTCTATCTTTTTGTTTCTCGCGTAAACAAACAAGGTTCTTTAATTATTTTTTTCCACGGGATCCTATTCACACACTTCCGTAGAACCCTTTAGGTAAAAAATCCCATAAAAAGTGTAATGACAGAGTTAATAGTCAGAACTAAATTTAAAATGCTTCAAATGTGTATATTAAATTAAAATTGAATGAAAACTGTCACTTAATAGCTTAAACATACAGTATAAGAAAAGAATCAGAATTTTTGAGACATTATTGTT